ATTCATGCACGCAAGCGTGCCCGTGGACACCAAGGCATGAATACAATAATAGAACTTCGCTGAAAAAATATTTTGTTGTGCACTCCCTCTTAAACACTCGGCATTCACTGTCCACTTCTCTTTTCTTTTGTCCCACTCATGTTTAATTTTGGGGGGAAAACCACCCAGTACCATTCTCTTATTAAATTCTTTTCTAAAAATTAGACAGTAAAGTATAAAACCAAGTGATTAAATTTGCTCTACTATAACATTTTTGGTCTTTCTAAAAAATATATATATAACAAAATCATCTGAAAAAGTTCAGACATGGGACAGAGGCACACCCTGACCATAGAGAACAACCCCTTTCCTCCATAGGAAACCTGTGTATCTTTCACACAGGCCCTTTGTTTATGGTAACACACTATAGCGTGCACATTGCTGTGTCTTCCAGACACACTTGTATGGGAGGTGCTAGGGCAGTGCAAAACATGGGTAACCAGTAGTTACCACTAGCATTTCCGTTACTGGCAAAAAACAGCCGCAGTGCACATAGTGTGAAAGAGCCCATTATCAATGTCAGATTGCATCCACTGAACTCTATAAAAACAACCAAGTGCCACTTTTAAATGCCCATTGCAACAGTTTTACTTATTAAAAGCTGGAAATGGCAGGATATTTATATATATACCCCTACTGTGACAGCCTGGCAGAGCATTACAAAGGAGAAAACCCAGCATCTGGTGATGTCCATAAGTACAAGACTTCAGGCTGTCATTACCAGGAAAGGGTTTCATCCAAGTATTAGGTATGAACATTTGATTTTCAGTTTTTCATTTGTCCAATTACTTCTAAAACCCTGAAATTAAGCGATTTTGTAATAAAATCTTTAGTTCATCACATTTCTATACAATCTTTTTGTTCAACCCACTGAATTAGGGTTCGTTCACACTAGCCGTGCTGCCGTTGCAGTGTGGTGCAGTACTGCAATGCAGCGCAGCTAGGGTTAATGCAGGGTACACAGGTTTCCATCATGTTTGCGTTGATGCTAATGTGCAGTGGTGCATGTTAACACAAATGCCCTGTAGCACGCATTTTTACAGGCGCAAGGGGGAGAAGCAAACGCAGTGCAAAATGCATTTGTTTTGCCACTAACACATGCGGTTAGTGGCCACGGTAGCGTTACTGATACCGCATCCGTATCAGCAAAAAAATGCAGCTGCAGCATGGCTAGTGTGACATGTCCTCTGTGTGTCTTTTTCCCTGCTGCGCATGTCCGCAGTGGGAAAAAAACTGCAGTGGCTAGAAGCCCTAAAAGCTGAAAGTCTTTGTTGTTTTATTAACAAGTCATTGTGATGTACAGAATGTGGGAACAGGAAAAAATTGTGTTTGAGTAGAGCTCTTAATCTTACCTCAGAAAGGCTCTGATACTGTGCTCTCCAGGGGCGTGTCTCTCTACATCACCACGATAACGTGTCTATGCATTCCCAGGGTGATGTCGGAAGACATGTCCGAGGGCATTACAAGGAGCCTTCTGGGAAATTGAGAGAGTGTGTCTCTCTACTAAATGGGGCGGATATTAATCCTGCCCACCTCAGAAGAAGGAGCTCTGCCCTGTTTTCCAAACGTGGCCATGGTAACACTGCTGCTGGTGAAG